GACTTTGGTGATACTCCTCTGTAGATATCTGCAACACTGGAAGTCCTAATGCTTTATGAACCTAATGTTATATTTTCTACTGTAGTTCAGAACTTGGAGCTATCAGAAAGTTGTCCCATTTGACACAAAGTCTTCTTTCCATTGTCCCACTTCAGTTTGTTGCCAGCATGTTATCTTATTTTCGGGTCTGACATTTTTCTTGTAAAAAGAGAATGAACATACTTGACTGTAGCTGAAGTGACTATTCCAAACCTGTCTATACACCATGCCTGAGACTTCAAAACAGTCCGTAATACAACTGGGAAAGACTTTCTTCTTTTATAGCTCTTAATTACTAACTTTTAGTCTATTCAACAAGGTAGTTTTTGTTCTCTGTTACTCCTACCCAGCTCCAAAAGTAAACTGATGAGAGCAGGATTCACCTCAGCAAGTAAAACCAGTGATTCCCACCCCCAGCTGTGAAAGACAAAGGGCTATTCCTCACTCATCCTGAGGTTCCAAAGGGACTTGCTCAACTTATCTGTGTTATACCTGTTTGCAGGGGATGTTTGACTTTTTAATAGCATTGGGCTCTGATTCAGAGAGTGATTTTAGTGTTGAGGGATCATAGCAATAATTACATTTCTAATGACATTCCCTCTGAGGAGCCTCTGCCGCGACTGTGATGAGGAAGTATCAGTGATGGGTAGGTCATGGCTGATTCCTGTGTCCATGTGAGATTAATCTAGGCTCGAGATAATGGGACAACTGACCATTAATGGCTTAACGTCAAACCTCCCTCTCAGTGATTTCAGCACCTAAGTCCTGCCCATATTCTGGATATTCTAATGCATGTACTAAAGTGTGGGGTTTCATATTATCATGACATTTTATACTTTGATAATTGTATGGGAACAGCATAGCTCTGATTTGGACAAGCCCTGAAGGGTGTTTTATTTCCCCAGCCTCACAGATCACACCACAGATGACACACGTAGTGTCTGTTGGGTCAGGCTTTAGAGCATCATTTTTACAAACAGATCTCTTTCCATTGTTACAGACAAGGGTCACTCATAGTTTTGTCTTGTAACTCTCTTAAAATGTCCTCTTGGTGTTCTCTCATGGGCTTTTGGGGTGGTGATGGCACCAGCCGTGTCATACAGAGAGTATTTTTTATTATACTTCTGTGTCATATTAAAAGCTTAGAGATGCATACAGAGCTTTTTTCCTGCCAGCTTTAAAGCTGTCTTCAAGTGATGGTTTTTGGCATAGTATATGTTTAGACAGTATGGCACAGTGAGTACTGCAGGATTCCCATTTTTAGATTCTTTTTCTTCTGCTTGTATAGTCTCATTTTATTGAAAATATATACATATACTGAAAATATATGCACATCTTTTCATTTATACTTCTGCCACCCACCTTTAAAACTTGTTGATTAGGTATCAGGAAAATCGAACATGTTTACACCAAGTATTCCTAGGAGGATTTACATTCCTGCAGGTCGTGGACTCTGCAGAGGATTTTGTAGCTGTCAACCCTACATCATCTGTTTTTAGCTTTGCAGATAGCACAGGTGGGAAAAAGCCCTGAGAAGCTTGTTTGACAGAGATGAAGTAAACTGTAAGTACACTGATACACAGACTGCTATTTCTACCCTCTTTCTGGATATAAAAGAAAACCAGATGTGATATTGGTGAGAAGCAATATTTAGGCTGGTGATTACACATCTTTATCGTTTTTAAGAAAGTGTGAGTTTAGGTTGAATGAAATAGAATCTTACTAAGACAATATTAAATAGTAGCACAAGATAGAAATAAATGAAAATGAATGAGTAGAATAAACAGTGTAATATCCTAAATTGTTAACCTACATGTTTACAAATAATTGGAAATTAGATATGTAAAGAAGGTAAGATAAGACCAAGGAGGCATGGTTAAGAATTTGCTTGTTTAACTCTTTCAATGAAGGATGTTTTTGGACACCTTAACATCTGTTCCTGCCATCATTAGCTAAAGATGGGAGGCCAAAGCCTCAGTACGGGTTACATTCTTAACAAGAAAGAAATTCTATTTCTTCATTTCTGTTAAAAGAAATTTTCAATATCTTCATATCATTTCAGTGCTGATAGGTGCAAGTGAATCTGTTAAAAATTGTAATTTTATTTGGGCCAGATGTATTCTGATGCCAGCAGAAATCTCTCATCAAATTCTCTGGCTTCTTGTGCCCTCATCAGATCCTGCCCACAAAGATCTATTTGCAGGTTTGGATGTTTCTTTTCTCCCCCTCCCCCCTGTTATTTTGAGGATTGAGAATTTTGACCATATAAGAATGGTGGAAATTAACTCCATGATGCTTTGGGAGGACTTCTGTTCATTCTAAAAATTTGAAATATTTCTTAAACTAAGTAGAAAAGAGATGTCAACACCACCTTGAGAGATTTTGTTCAGGGAGGAGCTCTTCTGCAGTGAAAGATGCAAGACTGAAGAGAGATGCTTAATCCCATGAAAGGTGGAGGAAGAGATTGTGCTTCTCCCAGATACCTGTCACAAGGCTGCAATCCTGGCTTCAGGGGCAGAACTTTCAGGAACTGCAAAAAACCAGCATAATTTTAGGGAGGGACATGAGACTGGGAGTTTGCTGAAGTCCACCTAATTCCCAGAGTACTTGTGAGTAATATTGATGCTGCCTTGAAGCCCTTTCTGGTTATTGTTCGGTGTTAGAGATATATGATTTCCCAATCTGTCTGACTTTTATGGGACCATTTTTGGGGTGATTTTCCTCTATTACACAGTGCCATTGCTATTGCCCATGTTGTCTTTTTCTGGTTCAGTTTCTTCAGATGGTGATTCTTGTGCTAAGTAATGGTGCCTCTGATTTCATGATGTGTTTGTTGTGTGACTCACAATTGTTTAATCCATGAGATTTATCAGTCCTTTTTCTATGGGGTTTAATTTTATGTCAGAAAACATTATGCCTTCAAAGACATACAGTTCTGATAGTCAAAAGCCAAAAGTATTGATTTGCAATTGGCAGGAGGGTGTGTTTGCTTCAACTAGCAGTGCTTCTAAAGAATAATTCCATTTGCTTTATGCCAAAGAATTCCTGTGTCCACTTTCAAACCACCTTCATGTTGACTGCATGAGATAGTGTTTATGCCAAACAGTCTCCTGCACATTTTCAAAGCTTTTCATTGTGTTTGCACTGAAATTTTCCTCCTAAATCCCACAGCAGTTTTAGGGCTCCATGTGATGTTTTTTGTAAAGACATTCACTTCAATTGAATCATAATTGGAAGGGACCTTTAAGACCGTCTTGTTCCAGCTCCCTGCCAAGGGCGGGAACACTGTCCACTAGTCCAGGTTGCTCAGAGCTCCATCTAGCCTGGCCTTAAACACTTGGCAGGGATGGGGCATCAACAGAGGCAACCTGTTTCGGTACCTCACCACCTTCACAGGGAAGAATTTCTTCCTAATATCTAATCTAAACCTACCGTTTTCAGTTTAGAGTCATTATGCCTTGTCCTTGTAAAATGTCCTACATGTCCTTGTAAAAAGTTCCTCTTCAGCTCTCTTATAGACCCTTCAGAAGTTTCTATAAGGTCACCCCAGAGCCTTCTCTTCTCTAGGCTGAAAAATCCCGATTCTCTCAGCCTTCTGCTGTAGGATTGATGCTCAATCCATTTAATCATCTCGGTGGCCTCCTCTGGACTCGTTCCAACAGCTCCTGTGCTGGAGAACCCAGAGCTGGAGGCAGAACTGCAGGTGGGGTCTCTCCAGGGTGGAGTAGAGTGGCAGAATCTCCCTTGACCTGCTGCCCACTTTCTGTCACCAAAGGGCTGCGTTCTGGTCGCGAGGGGTAGTTTGCATGGGGATAGGTATGTGTGAACTTCTTAGGCTGTGAAGAGGAATAAAATCTGGACTATGGCTCTGAGTAATCTGGTTGTTTTAATCACTATGTGTGGGTCTCTGAATCATCTGTATTGTAAGATAATATGATCTCTTTGGTATTCAGCAATGATTTTTTAAAAATTACCATATATATTATACAGAGCTAATATATTAAGAGATACCTTAAGGGTAATTATCAAGTGTGTAATTTCATCTGTAGGTTCTTATAATGATGGTTAATGTCATAAATGCCTTTTAATGAAATTATAGGCTTGTAATCCTGCCCAGCTATCCTTTGTGTCTCAAATAATTAATAAGACCAAGCTTTGGTGTTGTCTCAGTGTCACAAAGCATCATGTAAACTTCCGTACTGATGGTAGATGGTTAGTCTCCCACCAGAATAAGAATAAGGTTAAGGCTGGGAAGCTTGAGTATATGTTGCCTTATCTGTAAAGGCAGCTGGATGAGCTTGTTAACAAAAGTACTTCTAACAGAATATATATGCTCATAAAAAATGGCCATTGATCTAGTGTCTTATTATAGTACTACAGGCAGTATTGTAAGGGAGTGAAGAGGCAAGGGCATTTCAGCACTTGGAATAAAAAATTGTTTTTCATCTGAGGGCAGTGAAAATTTGCATCCTACTTAAAACCATTTGGAGATGGACAAGAACCTTTATCTTGAATTGAAGACACTTGCTTGGAACATTACAGAGCTGGGATTGTTTCCCAGTCTGGCGTAATTTCTGTGGGGCTTTGGCTTAATTGATAATTGATTATGGTCAGCAGATTTCCTGTATGAAAAATAAGGGCCACAATATTTCTTTTCTTTGTCTCACATTTCTAGATTTAAAACTTGCTGAAGCAAAGGAGTTATCTATGTGCTATTTTGTTGGGGTTTTTTCCCTTTGGGAATTGAATCTTGTAGAATCATTCACACTGGAGTAACCGAAGGCCATCTAATCCCACTTCCTGCTCAGAGTAATGGCAGTGTTTAACTTCTGCCCTCTAGGCCATTTTCTCATTATGAATACTTGTAAGTGAACCAGACATTTCACATGTCACCAGTGAAAGGTATTTCCCAAAAATCATGTAAGATTCACTGAATTTTTTTACTGTTCTTATTCCTTCAGGGAATGATGTACCTGGAAGAGAGGAGACTTGTCCACCGGGACTTGGCAGCCCGTAACGTCTTGGTGAAATCACCAAACCACGTGAAAATCACTGACTTCGGCTTGGCCAGGCTTTTGGAGGGGGATGAAAAGGAGTATAATGCTGATGGAGGGAAAGTGAGTACTGAACATGTCTGGAAGTAAATTTATCATGCTGTGACAAACCTCCTGAAGTTACTCTTTAGGGCAGTGTATCCCTATGGGACTATTATCTGTGTAAGAAAGTCTGTCAGTGACTTAGCAAAATCCTGTGACAGCACACATAAAAGCTGTTCATTCTTTGTTCATTGAGCTTCTCCAGGTGCTGAAATACAATTGCATGAACAGTTTTCACACTCAGATTTTGTTCGTATGTTCCATTTTGCATCTTGTTCTGAAGAGTTCGGTTCATTGAGTGATGGATATTCTAGGGCATTCCTGCTGAGCCCGTTTCTCTGGTCAGTGTGCACCTCAATAACTTGCAGTCCCATTTTCCCAGACAAGTAATTTTCCAGGAAGCAAAAGGGAAGGCCACAGAACATATTTCTATTTGTATCATAAGAGAGTTTACCTCTTCCATCACACTGAAAGAGACTGTGTGTATGCTGTCTGGCATCCATGTCTCCAACACCATGCTGAATGCCAGGCCACTAAAAGCCAGCTTAAGGATAATTTTGAAAACAGAAATTTGCCCCTATTACTTTCCAGCATACCACACCACATCCATATAGTTCCTCACCTCATTTCTACTGCCTTCAGATTAATGCATTATAAAATTCAGAGGGCTATAAGTGCATACGGCTGCTGGCTGCTCCCTAAACATCTTCAAATTTCATATTTCAATGTCACAGAATCCCAAGGGATTCTGCCTCTCCTGTCATTCCTTTTCCTGGATGTTCAGTTTCCTTTCTGTCTACTTGCTGTGTTTTGCTGTGCTCACTTATGCCCTTGTCTGGGACAAACAGCTGTTGCCAGTGTGTGCTGTTCTCTGAGATGGGCTACTGCCTTGTTTGTGTGGTTGCTGCCCTTGGCATGTGCTGCATGGATCACACCAGCAGTTCAGTCACTGAGGTGAAGAGCTTGAGAGGAGTCACTGGTGCCTTCCCATTTCCCCATGGAAAGAGACCTCCTGGCAGGGAAGGTGGAGTTTTCCCTGATTCCTTCAGTTCTCTAATCCTGTTTTCAGAAACCCCTATGCTTCTTCCTTCCATCAGCCAGCGAATGACAGAAAATGAGTTGGTCTTTGCAAACCAGCTGTTCCCTGGCAGCTGTATCTTGGACTTGTGAGGCCAGTCACACTGCTGAGAGCTCTGGAGCAGCATTTACATGTCAGATGTATCACTTCATTCCAGAGAAGTATTCTCTGAAATCCAGAAGACACAGGCAGCTTCAAGTTGTATTGAGAGCATGCTAAGGGAGGTTCAGACTGAGCAATCAGGTGGTTGATTAGGTTGCCCACAAAGGTCATGCAGTTTCCATCCTTGAAGGTTTTCAAGTCCAGAGTGGATAAAACCCTGAGTAACTTGGCCTGATCTAGTAGTTGAACCTGCTGTGAGCCTGAGGTGGGGCTAGAGGTGTCCTGAGATTGCTTCCGATCTGAGTTACTTCATGATGACCAAGGCAGCCTTTGCTCCTTCGACAGTTGTTCATATTTGGAACAACCCAACCATATTTAATGGGAATGAAAGCGATGCACTTCTGCAGCGTTTAGTGGAGGAGGATGAACTGCCTTCGCAAGAGCTAAGCCAGCCTTATTACAGGGTGCTATTTTTGCCATAACTCTATGGGTTATGCTCATTAGTCAACTCCATGGAAGGTATTTTTGTAAGGGTTTGAATGAAGACACATCCTCTGCTTTTACACCCACTATCTGTTCATATTCTCTCTGCAGTTAAATATCTCTTTAGTTTATTCCAGTACCTCATCCATAGTTCCCAATTAGAGGTGACCCATACCAGTCTCTGCCAGGTAAAAATCTGCTAAGTGTGCGTCCATTAGATATTCATGGACTGAGCTGGGCCCATCAGGCCAGCTCAAGAATAGAAAACCATGAATCCCATTGTAACACAAACTCAGGAGGGTGGACCCTTATGCCAAATTGAGGTTTGGTTTGCCTTCACACTCTTCTCTGTTGAAAGAGATGAGCTCCCCTGAGGGTGATTCACAGCCAGAGGTAACTTTTGACTTAGTTTTGGGAGCAACTTTTCTCCCTGCAGTACTGATAAGAGAAGTGGGACAACTAAATTCCTAACAAATATTAGGAGTTAGAAATTAAGCACTGTAAGTTCTCCCCATTGCCTGTTTACCCTGATGATGGGGACTATGAAGTATTATGGATGCTGCATTATTAACTTGCCTCATTAGGGAGCAGTTGAAATAGCAGCGTCTAGTGTTGCAAACTGCTGAGGCAAAAGAGCTTTTGCATTCCACCTTCTCTGCTGCACTTCTCATTTAGGGGAACTGGATGAAGTGGTTTGTCCCATCTTTACACAGGTTTGATGAAAACATGAGTTTTTCCACTACATCTGAATCAATAAAATTGAGAAATTCTGCAGGTAATCGGTTCATGTTTCTCACCTCCACGTGTTTTATGAGGCAAAGCCCCATTCCAGAGGGCAGAAACAGCCATTTCCTCTGCTGGGTTGTGCTGCTTTTTTTCAAGCTTGCAGTTGAAAAAGGTAACGGGAAGGAAGCTGATGTCTTAAAACAGAATTTGTCTGTATGGTTTTAATAATGTATTTCTAAGGGTACATTTCTCTTGTCTTTCCCTAGATGCCGATTAAGTGGATGGCTCTGGAGTGCATACACTACAGGAAATTTACCCATCAGAGTGATGTTTGGAGCTATGGTAAATCTTCATGTGATTAAATTAAAAATTTGTGTCTTTTAAAGAATTAACCCAAGTTGTGTTACTATGTTAAAGACATCCTCTTTTCCTAAAAGAGTTAAATCCAGAGGGGGTTGCTTTTCCTTATTTTTTGTTTCTTTTTTTTTTAAAAGTGTAACTAGGCAGCAGTTGTTACAGTCTCCTGTGTTACTTCCCTGCTAACTAAAATATATTATCACAGTGTTTCCTGCTGGGATGAGTGCTGTAAGGTCTGGTCTGGTAGCCATTTACCTGATGGTTATGACAGAAGAAGGCCTCTTTCAGCTTAGGCACAGATTCATAAAAATATGGCTGCAGGTCACAATTTTCAGCAGTCTTTGAAAATCTCAACTCTAAAAACCATGAATGTCAAAAGGCATTTTCAGACTTATGGGACTTTCTGTATCTGCAGTCAGATAGAAGAGAATTTGTCACAATACAGAGCAAATATGGCTAGAGAAAGAAAAAGAAGAGACAAGCTCTCCAAACTAACTAGAAAAAGCATCCATTTAATTTCAGAGATAACTTGAAAATTGGTGAGCTACCCACACACAAAAAATAAATTGTATTTGAGAAATTAGAAGTTTGTTTAGTGTTGTTAATTGTTATCCAAATGAGCTGTTGTACCACATCTGCTGAGACGTCTGCCTGTTTATCTAGTATAGCTGTTGCTAATAAGATCATGTATACCTTTATAAATGGCAATTTTCAGCAGTATCTAGGGCTATGGTGTCCTATTTACATTTCCTGTTGCCATATCATTTTGAACCAAAAGGGTGTACGATTCTAGTCATTACTCACTTTTACCTGTGGGTAGCAGCAAAAGACACTGTTTGCTGTGACTGGTTAGCTGCCCTCTTCTAGTCAGCTGAGAAAAACCTGTGAGAGTTAAACTGATCTTGTAAAGCTGCTCTTTCTCTTCAAATTCTGTATCCCCTGTATCACTTAGGAAAAAATATACCTTCATTTATGAAATTCATTTTAAATGCAGGAAGCCCAGAACATCTATAATCAGAAAGGACAAGACCATAAACAGTTGACAAGTAATAGTTATTGAATATCAACAAGGAGGTGAATGAGTGTGAAATAAATATGTGTTTTATTCATATGGTAATTTTGCCCATCACCTTTCACATTAGCTTGACAGCTGGCAAAATATGGTAATAACCTGGAAGTGTGTTTAAAATGACCAAATAAAAACTTTAAAAAATTGGTGCGAGAGTAGGATTTTCAATATTTAAGATTTTGTTTGGGGACAAATTTTGTTACTTATGATATATGATCTTTATTTCCAACTCCAAAGCCAAAACAAATCCTATGGCTTTTTAAAAAGAGAATCTTGGGTTTGTAGCACAGCACTATCATAAACTCAAATAAATAAGGTGATTTAAGGAAAAAAATAATAGAAGTGCCTGTGAATGACTTACAAGGCAAAGACAATGGTCTAATGTTACTCAATGCTGTACTTTTGTGGGAAAATGATGCTCTAAGTTAGGGAACGTCTGCACTTTTTCCCTTTAAAATAATAAAGTACATCAGCCATTCATTTCCCTTTTCAATGTGATAAAAGAGTGTGATGTATTCTTCTGTTATTGCATCCATTTACTGTACCACTGTTCATCCCAGGCCTTTCTCTTGTACCTCACAACTGTCATGCTGCTTTTTACACCAGTAAAAATGAGGGAAGTTTCTTTCGAAGATTAACATGTAGTGCTGTTTTGCCATTTTCCAGAGTTTTCTAAGTGGCAGATTGTCGTGGTTTAAGCCCAGATGGCAACTAAGCACCACGTAGTTGCTCACTTGACACTTCATTTCCCCGCCAGACCAAACTTCAGTGTTTTTACAGGCACTGGCAAAGAAGAAGGGATTGCGGTCCAGAACTGGGCCAGAGCACTGTGCTGTAAGGGAAACTGAGTAGCATGACCTCAAATACTGACACTCTTTTTTTCTGTCTAGGAGTCACTATCTGGGAGCTTATGACCTTTGGTGGGAAGCCATACGATGGAATCCCGACTCGAGAGATCCCCGATCTCTTGGAGAAGGGAGAGCGGTTGCCTCAGCCTCCAATCTGCACTATTGATGTCTATATGGTGATGGTGAAGTGTGAGTAATTGTCACGTTTAACATCCCTGTGCTCACTGCTAGAGGGACACTGGTTTAGAACGTTTGTATCTGCAGCGTCTGAGAGTGTTGGGGAATAGGACAGGTTGTTTCAAAACGAAAGCTTCCCAAGATACTGTAAATTCCATTTAAATACTATATGCTCATCTTTTGCAATTGCAAATGATACAAATTTAGCTGTGAAGGGCTGAGTTAGTTCAGCTTCTTATTACTGTCAGATGGTATCTCATATTCTTGCTGTGAAGTCAAAATTGTATGATTGTTATTGTATACCCTTGTCATTTGCATGACAATTAATTTTGATGTTAAAAAAGATAGTATTATACGTCATTATGGTACCTGGATACCCAGCCAGTGAAGGTTGTAAGGAGGAATGCTGGTTCCAAATATTGAGGAAAGAAATCACAAAGGTTTATTGTTAGTAACAAGAATTATTATTGCAATAGTAATAATAAAAAGTAAAATTAATAGAAGAAATACTACAGAGAGGATTACTTTTTTATCATTCTTAGTCCAGTACAAAAATTTATGAATATTTTTACTTTAGCAAAAAAGAAAAACCATCTGCACATGATTTCTTCCTACTCTTTTATCTCCAAGATACCCCCACCAGTGACAGTATCCTCCAAGGTTATGCTTCTAATTTAAAAAGAATTAGAAATATCTCTCTGATGTTTCTGGCTTAATTTAAGTAAGATTAACATACAGACACCTCATCCATCTTATATACTCCTTTCCCTTTTTCATTGTACACAAAAGCAGTGAAAAAAAAAAAGAAAAGAAAACTACAAGAGGTAAATAAAGTATTTTCTGAAAAGAGTTGTACTGTGCATTCAGGTGTGGAAGTTGTCTGAACAGTGCAAGGGGTCCATGTTGATTGAGTGCAAAAATGTCCCATCTGGTAAGATTTCTAATAAGCATGAAGCGAATGTCAGTGGACAGAAGGAAGCTCTAGAAGAGGTGGTAATTTGGGAGATGAAAGGTTACAGCTTAATGCACAGACTGTAATGTTTGTGTGAAATTCTTTATAAGTTTAGTAGCTTTCTTTTTCCTGTGTTGGTCACTTCTTTGGCTCAATCACACTTAGGAGATAAGGCCTGCTTCCATTAGCACGCCTGGAAAGAGAGAACATGCTCTTGGGAAGCTGCTGATAGGATCTTCCATTAGAAAAAGCTGACAGAGAGAAACTACTTGCTGGTGGTGACTACCTATATTACCTGCTTGTTTTGCAAAAGTTATTAGCAAGGATTGAGAATTGTTGTTCCTAATGAATGTTTCTTGGAGAGTGAAGGACAAAGGAATCACCCTTTATTCATTTTTTTTTTCATTCTTCATTATTAGAATAATATCTAGTGCCTCATGTGAGGGCTGTGCTTATGATGCAGATAGGTGAAAGGCAGATGCCAGGTCAGTCATTCTGTAAATCTGCTGAACAACTCTTTAATCCAAGTCACTGTGGGACAGTAGGTCAGTTAAAGTAAAACTGTATTTAGTAGTAACTTTGTAGTAAATCCACTAGAGTCTGATGAGATCAGATTCATTGTATTAGAGGTTGGACACATCCTTAACAAAAGATAGTCAGTACTGACATCTAAATGGGCAAGACAGAGAAAATTGCAAGGAGTTGTTGCTGTCTCTGGGACAGAGAGGAGCTCAGCAAAGTGAGAAAAAAATCCATGCAGTAAGGAACAATCTAGTCTTGCCAAACGTAGGTGTTTTCCACTTTATGCATCACAGAATTCTAAGCTTTCCATTCTTCTGGGCTCTTTATTGTATCTTTTCTTTAGGCTAGAGCTATCAAGGACTTCAAACTTGTGCATTTTTAAAAACTGAATGATTTCTTCCCTTGATGGTTAACTCTTTCCTTTGTCATCTGTCATCTGTCCCCAGGCTGGATGATTGATGCTGACAGTCGGCCAAAATTCAAGGAGCTGGCTGCTGAATTCTCTAGAATGGCTCGAGACCCTCAGAGATACCTAGTAATTCAGGTAAGCAAGTCTACAACATCACAGGGGGCCAAAAAAATATTCTGTCTGTAAAACCTGACTGTTAGGGGGATTGCCTTTGAATCTTTTGAAGTTCGAGGTGTTCTTGAACTTTAGGCAAGCAGCAACCACAGTATTATACAAGCATGAAGTAGAATAGCCAGTGTCAGTATCTCAAAAACAATAATACTAATAATACAGTAGTCTGAAATTCACTTCCTAAGCTTGTATTATTAGCACATATACAAGATTTGGCTTTGCAGGCTGCCTAGTACTTTGCATTTTCTCATGAAACTGGGGACAAGTTTTCTCCATTGATGGACAGCGAGTCTGCTTTTAGTCCAAGGACTTGCGTGGCTCTACAGTTGATCAGGTTGCATCTTGGAGGATTATCCTGATGAGACTTTTCCCTGCACTGCTGAGATCACAAGAAAGTTTCTTTTCATAGCCTAAACATAAAGGTTTCTCAGAAGACAGGGCGTTCTGTCACACTGGTACCTCTAATGCTAGACAGAAGCTTCCCTCTCTGTTCTCCTTAGGTTGTGTAGACTCTGTAGGCTTCACATCTTTGTGACAGAGCCACACCAGCATGGTTCATCCCGTGGAACTGCACTGTGCCAGCAGTATCTCTTGAGTACATCACAGTGGAGCTGTGTGTGGCTGAGTACAGGTGTGCGACCTTTCATACATTCTGAGGGAGCCTAGAGTTGTGCGTATGTTTTTGACAGCTCAGACTCAAGCCACAGAAAGTGCATCTGATTGGTAAGGTCCTTAGGTGGTCCCAGTGTGTGTGAACAATTCAAATGAAAATGAAAACTTAAGAGAAGTAAGGTGATGGTGAAACACCAGAGACCAGAGCATGGGAATGGTTAGATCCAAGTAATGATACCCTGGTGCTATATCTTATGCCGTGGAGTACAGGGCAGAGGTACACCCAGCTGGTCCTCAGTTTCAAACTGATGTAAGATTTCCTAGTGAAGAGCCTCCAGAAGCACAGTCACTGCCACTTCAGGTCTCCTGAGTGCCTCTGAGTGTAGTGCCAGTCTCACCGTATGGTGTTTCATTTCACTGTGTAGACGCGCCAGACAACTCATGGTGTGTTCCTGCACAGTGGGAACGCACGCTGCTCTCCCATCTTCAGCAGAAGTAAAATACAGTTGGAAAGTAAAACACTAGTCAGGATTTGTGGTGCTGAGTGTGGAATTTCCTTAGCAGTACTCCATGCTGTGATAACTTGTAAGTTCAGCAGATACAAGTGATTCTGGAAAAATCAATCTCATTAAATGACTTCATTAGATAGGACATTTCCGTATTCCAAATACCTCTTCCCTCCTTTTCTACCCCTGCTTTTTCCTCCCCCGTTGCATTGTCTGGTGGGTGTTTTATCCTGTGAGGCTCCTCTCCAGTGCTCCTTGCACACAATATAGGCTCTGAGCTTCTGGAGGAGAAACCAGGGTAACTCCATTTTATTGATATCTCTGCCATCATGACTCCCCATTCCTCCCATCAAGAATGTCAAGCTTCCTATTGAGCTTTTAAAATTTCTCTGGATGTACCCTACAGCACATCCATCATTCCCTGCTTTATTCCACATGTAGCATAATAGTTCTTGAGGAGTGGGAGATAATTCTTTAACCATGCAGTGAAGTCTATGGTTTCTTATGTGTTCGGCCATGGGCTGCCTTTGTGATGTTTTGTGGCACCAAGCAAAGTGCATCCCAGATTTACCTCTCCAGCTTGTAGGTGGTGTTTCAATACAAACACATATTGCTGTTGTTGTCTAGTTTGATTTTTATTGGTTTTAGCTCCGTTATATTTTGCAGAACTTTCCATATGGATGGAGCAAAATTTATCCTCTAAATCCGTAAAAATACAAATTAAAATAAACACCCAGATGCAACAGTTCCCATCTGTCCCTATTTCAGCCTAAATAGCTGAGATATTTCACAGAATCACAGAATACGCTGAGTTGGAAGGGATCTACAAGGATCACCAAGTCCAACTCTTAGCCGTGTACAGGACCATCCCCAAGTCACACCATGTGCCAAAGAGTGTCATCCAAATGCTTCTTGAACTCTGTCAGACTTGGTGCTGTGACCACTTCCCAGGGGAGCCTGTTCAGTGCCCAATTGAGTGAAGCACCTCTTCCTAATATCCAACCTAGACCTCCCCTGACACAATTTCAGGCCATTCCCTCAGGTCCTGTCACTGGTCATCACAGAGCAGAGATCAGTGCCTGCCCCTCCTCTTCCCCTCACAAGGAAGTTGTAACTGCAATGAGGTCTCCCCTCAGTCTCCTCTTCTCCAGGCTGAACAGACCAAGTGCCCTCAGCCACTCCTCATACAGCTTCCCCTCAAGACTCTTCACCATCTTCGTTGCCCTCCTTTGGACACTCTCTATTAGCTTGTATATCTTATCTGTACTTACTTCACAAATATGTCAGCACTTAGGTCAGAAACTGAACTTATATGGGAAAAAGAGAGAAGAAAGAATAAAAGCTCAATCACAAGAATGCCAAAATAGCTTTGCTTGATTTATGCAGTTATTCCCTTTCTGTCATCATATTCCAGTAAAAAAAAAATAAATCAACAAATGATGTGGATATGGTGCTTTAGAACAAATAAAACAGCATTTGTGGTCCCTGCAGCCTGTCTGCCAGGGCATGAAAGAGGCTGAAGGAAAGGCTGTTTGGGAAATTAATCCATCTGTTGACATTTTTCCTCTCTCAATACGATCTATTTAGGGAGATGATCGTATGAAGCTCCCAAGTCCTAATGATAGCAAGTTCTTCCAAAACCTTCTTGATGAGGAAGACCTGGAAGACATGATGGATGCTGAAGAGTATCTTGTTCCTCAAGCTTTCAACATCCCTCCTCCCATCTACACCTCCAGGACAAGAATTGATTCCAACAGGGTAAGAGCGAGCTCTGGCATAAAATATTTGCTAGTATAAAAGCACAAGTAAAGATTTGAGTTACAACAATCAAACACAAGCCAGCGCTGCTTTGCGAATTACAAGCTCCCATTGTAAGGAGAATGGCTATAAAAATGTTGTCATTGGGTTCCCTGTTCATTGTGCCTCAGTGAATCCTAAATTAATAGCTCAGCCTTGAGTGAACAAAGGCTTGACTTGGGCTGCCTCTCCTGAAAGCACAGCTGAGGCTCGTGAAGTCAAGCAGTGTTGTTTCTCCACTGCAACTGGCCAGGAAGTGCACAGCCCTCATGCTCCCATCCCTGTAATCCTGTTGTCTTGGCAGGGTTGACACTGATGTAACTGGGGGCAGCTGGAATATATAGATAATGCTGCTTTTGTGTCTGGAGCCAGATTTCAGACCCAGCCCCTTTTCCCGTTTGTATGTGATGCTTTCATGGCCCTCCTTCACCAGTGTGTGTTTCTGCTGAGCATGTCACAGATATCAGCGTGCTGGTCTTCGTAACATCCCTCTCAGGGGAGGAAATGCTGTTCGTTTTGCAGAGGGAGCTGAGGCACAGTGAGTGTTCAAATGGAATTTAGCTCAAATAACTAACCATCTAAGGGATATAATCTAAGCTCTTCATCTAGCCTTCATTTCATGTCATTGGAGTAGCATGGGTACATCCAGTGGGTGATTATTTCTGCCTGCCTTGAACATTTACAGTTGCAAAGTAACTTTCTAGGGGTGTCTTTCTCTATCCACTAACTACTGACAGCTGCAGAGCAGTCTCAGACCTGGTGTGTGATCTCTGGTGAGTTGGATCCTGTCCTACATGCCTCTGGGCCTCAGTGCCACAGGAGCCCTGCTCCAGATGGGGAGCCGAGATCAGGTCTCTGAAATTCATTTTCACTCCTTAACAGTCTGCCCACAGCTCTTCCTCTGCCTGTTTCTGTGCTTGGCTCCATCCTTTTAACAGTTTAGGTGCCACCCCTCCTCACAAAACTAAGAGATGGTGAAATGCATTACTAATGTGAGGGCATTCACGTGGGCATCAGGTGTATCTAGTAATTAGGGACTTGTTTTCTCTCCAGGCTCCTTTCAGTGGAAAATCACAGTTTAAATACTAAATCTTTGTAGTATCTTTGAAATGTTGGTGTTTATTCCTCATGGTTTAGAAACCCTTTGGACCTCCTTACATAGTTCCAAATTCATACCCTGGTGTGAACTGATTACACCATGTGAGACAGGGAAGAGATGAGTGAAAGAGCCAAGAGTGTATAAGCTGAGTCAGTATTGAAGGTCCTTACCCTCTCCTGAGGAAATCAGTGTTATTCTGGAATAAGGAAGACAAAATCTGGTCTTAAATAATAGTCATTTCTTAAAGAAATTGCTACTGTTTTAAAGGTAAGGACACTAGAGAAGTCTGGATTTATGTTGCATTTCTTCTGTATCACTGGAAGGCAGTGAAAGGGGGATGATGCAGGATTTAGCAATAAGCAGGAAACTTCCTCTTTATGGCAACAAGAGTTAATTTTTAGTGTTGATGTCAATCTGAAATAAATCAGGTTTACTCCTAGCTGTCTCTGGAGAGGTTCTGTTTCCTTTGCTGCCAGCTTCTGAGAAAAGAAGGAAACTACAGCAGTTACCTTTGAAAGGTACTCACTGTCACACTGATGCAAAACACTGTGGCTTAGTGTGACATGGTGGAGTACTGCCATTTGCACAAACATAGTGTTGAGAGAGCAGAGTCTGACATATAAGGTTTGTTATATTCATCTCACTCCCATATTTTCTGGAAACACTGAGGTATGTTCAAAGGAGAAAGGATTACAGGAAAATGTACTTGCCTTTTCAACAGTCTCTTTTGCCTTATGTCTTTGGTCCCAGTTGAGCAGAGGAGTCCACTAGAGCTGAGGGAATTAAATCCAACAAAAATCCTAGAGTAAATATCCTGAAAGATTTATTTAAAATGGGTTGTTGGGGCAGCCAACGTACTCAGTGGGATATTCATGGAATGCAAACACAGGCATTTATTATTGTTATTATTCACTAAAATTCTGCAATTCTTAAATGTACTGCTAGTGCTGCCATACAGGGGGTACACCTAGATTGCAGGAAAGCCACAGCACCATGTTCCTGGAGGAGCTCGGGGCCAAGCTGAAATCCCTGTAGGATCATAGCACTTCTTGTTTCCTTTGCAGAGAGGTATTTTCTGGAGGTAGTACATTTGTTTCCTCTCAGTGCAGAAAGCTACATACCTGTCTGTTTTTGTGAAGCACTCAGTTTGTTGGTAAGTTAACTGTTCTTTTAGTGAAGATTCATGTTGATTTAAACAAAATACACAATAGCTCCTTTAAGGTAATAGTGCATCTGCTGTGCATAGTTCAGTACAGATGGGTGTCAGCCACAGGAATCACATGGAATTGAAATTCTGTCAGAACTCTCTACCTGCAGTTGTCTGATTCTGTCTTGGTGTTTCCTTTGGATAGTTTGTGATTTATGCTTGTTTAGTGTAGTGCATATTAATACTGCACAAACTCATTATGGTGCTGCTGCAGCCATAGATGCCAAATGAATTGATGCAGCTTAGGTAGTTTTTGCTCAGTGTGCCTGGCAAATTGCATTTTATGGGGAGATTGAGAGGCAATTTGGTGAAGGAAAATGCAGACAAGAGCTACATGATCTTCATGTCATTTTCAGAGATCAGAAGCATGAAAGGTCCCATATTTCAAATCTTAGCTGTTCTGATGTTTCAGCAGAGCAGGAGTCAGTTATATGATGGCAAGGCATTGTGCTCCTTCTCAGGATGCACTGTACTGACAGCTTTAGTTGAATGTTCTAGCAGGATGGCTGGAACATTCCAACATGGCAGTATGGCTGGCTGCAGGGGACAGAAGTCTGCAGAAAGAAAGCAGGGAGATCATGTAGCTCCTCACATTCAAGCTTTGAAGTCAGGGAATGAAGGAAGAGTAGGAGTATTTACTTTCTCAGGAAAGCTCTGAAGTTTCTCTATGGTGGTCTCAGGTCTAAATCCTTGCACTTTGTTGCCTGGGAGAGGCACCACTGAATGAGACTTCATAAAGTACTGTCTGCTCCCTCATTCTCGTGTGAAGAAAAAAGTTATTTGGATGTGAATTAATAGCCAGAGCTGCAGCCTGTGGAAAGAAAACAGGAAAGAGGGAAACCTTCCATGGAGGTTCCAGCTCCCTGGAAAGTATCACATCATTCTTCCTCCAAGGATTACAGAGGTTTATGAAGCTGCAAGGCTCAGATATAGCTTTAGCATTTCCATCACACCCACACAGGCTTTGTATTAGCACGTCCTGGGGACCTGTGCTGCTGGGAGCAGAAACACACACAGGGTCTGGCCTGTAACAGTGGCCTCTGTTATGAAGTCCAGTCTAAGACTGCTGCAGCTTTTAAATAAAAATTAACATCCTAAGCTAAATTGAACTCTTTCACTGGATCTGAAACTCTTCAGTTGCAATTTCGGCTCTTTGGCTTTTTCCAGTTTTTATTTTTCACTGTCTAGGGATGCTCTAGAAATATGGAGTTTTAGACGCTCTGTGCTTCTGAGAGATAAGCTGAATTCTCAGCAGTGTTTCCATGAGCATAGGAACCCAGCTTGTGCTCGAGTGTCCTACATTCACATCCATTAAATGATTCATTCACGTATTTATAACGAGTACTGTCCTGTGTGCACAGAGATAATACTAATACAGAAAGCACTCTGTGTACCCCATGATGCCTTTAGCTCTAAATCTTTGGCTAATTCCTGCTGAAAACTGTCTATACTGTTTATTACTCGCTGATACTGTCCCTGTAATTTTATTCCATACACTGCATATCATGCAAGCATCTCCCAACCCTGCAATTAAATATCAAGCAATTTTTTTTCAGGGATGTCTGATCCATATGTCCAAGGAGACTATCCTTCTTGGCTAAAGTGGACTGTGCTACACCAAAAGCCAGTTTTCAGTTCTCTGAGCAGTATCTGGTGTGCCATTGCAGCAGTCCTGGTGTGGCCTTAGATCTGGTGGTGTTGCATGGCTGAACATCTGAATACATCTGTGGATAAAAAGGTTATTCCAAAGAGAAATCAGGGAAGAAGTTATGATTGATTTATTCTGGTTTCTAAATTTGAAAGGTAGCCTTTTTCAAATCACAAGGTAACAAAAGGGATGGTTGCTAGTGATTTTCATATGTGTTTCACGTCAGTGTGGTGTATGGCATCTTTTCTTCCCAGCTTATCACAGACAGTAGGGACTGTTCACTCAGTGGGATCACTACCAGAATTAAGTGACTTTTATTAGACTTTATGTAAAAGGGCTGAATTTCTTAGGCATCTGCCTGTAGTGCTCCAGTGGTAGATCAGATCTGAGGTCTAATATGATCTCCTTTACACACTGAAATACAGCAGGCTGTAAGCTGTCTTCAGTTACAGGTGGAAGGAGGGATTTTGGAGAGCAGTCGGGGAGGCACTTCCCAGAGTGTCAGCTCAGCTGGGCTACTGTGAGAGGTACTGCCAACTGCAGGTGAGGAGAGCCAGCAGTTGCTTATAGCATCCTTTCCTCTTGGCAAAGCAGGCAACAGGAGGGAGTCATGATTTGACCACAATTCGCCTTTGTCCAAGTAGCACCTGGTCCCCATTTCTTTTTCTGTAAGGAAAAGTTAAGAGTTCCTGCACAAGCTCTCTAGGTAAATTATTTCTCCAGGAGTGTCCTGGCCACATGGGACTGATAACAGTAAAGCTGCTTCATCCTAAAGTCAATACAAAATTTGTGTGAAGAGATATCAAGGCTCGATGGGGCCATTGAAAGCACTTTGTCCAACCTTCTGGCATAGCATAGCCCAGAGCCTTTTGCCTCTTAATTTCTGAGTCAAGTGTAAAAATTCTGTTTAAGGTGGAGTTTGTCTTTTAGAAAGATTGTCTTAATTGTATCAGGTAGAATGGAAAATACATCACAGTGTAGAAAAGTCTCACTGGGCAGTTAATGCT